TATTTCAAGAACGCGTGTTAACTTCGTATACAGTACATGTAGCTTAAACGTGCACACATGGTCATATTGCATTGGAAATACTACTACTAAAAAGAAATGTGTGCGCACGCAGTGACCATCAACGTAGTGCACAACATGTGGTGACAATAAGCACAACGTGTATGCGAGAGTTCACACGTGCGCATGTGATATTTAGAAGTGCGCATGGAATAGCCAATACGTGTGCGCGCACTAGCTACTATACGCACGTGCGCTCATACTCAAAGTTTATGTCTCATTGATTTCAAAACAATGTTTTTGTTTCATTTCCTTCTCTCCTATCTGTCAAATTTGTTTTCATTTGAAGTTTTATGCGATAAGGACTATTTCAACCATGGTGGTCAACTTTATAGACAGACAAAGCATGTTAACATATCCGATATCGATTTACTATACAAGACATTTCACTGTTTTGCACATGTTTTGTATGTTTTGTGAATGGAAAAGCTATACTAATTAACGCATTCTAATAAATAATTAGATATGTGGTCGTATATTAATTGGCTAATATTGCTGAATCATTTTACGTGCGATTTCATTGATAAATATGCGGTCGCGGGACAGGTGCTTTTTGTGACTTGAATAACAAATAGATGCATTAAAGGCCAATAAAACTACCTGCATAATTAAAATTAAAAGTGCATCTTCTCAAGTTTCTTGCTGAAATGTAAACCTGTTAAATATTTGACAAAAGTGAATAACTCTAGACTGTATAATCGGTATTGGTTCTTTCTAGAAGTTATAACTGCTAATTAAAATGTATATCAAAACAGTGTAAATGACAATGTTATAAGGATTACTTTCAGTTGTATGCCCCGTTAATTTGATGTTCATTAGGAATATACTGTCAAAATGCAACATTTTATTGCTAGATAGACATTTCGATATTGTAAAATTTTAACTATTGTAAAATGGAAGATGTATAATAACTGTTCTAGGATGCGGAACTCTCTTTGTTTTTATCGATCAATAACTCTCATATTGCACATGTAGCCCCTCAATGTTTCACCAATCTTATCGAAATACGCAGTGGTTCAGACGTTTTGTGAGATTTTAGTTTCCTTGTCTACTCTTTAATGATCTGTTAAACTGAATTGACGATCAGTTCATCATATTTTATATACATAACCTTCACATAAATGTTATCCAGAAAGAAGATTATGCTCAAATAAATGTCAGGCAAAAATAATGTTCAGTTAGTAATAGTTAATTGTGACACCAAGTGTTCCCGTAAGTGTTTTGTTTTCAATCATTTGAAAAAGGCATTTCCCGGTTTACTCCGTGTGAAGATTACATAAAAATGTTTTGAGACGTTTTTATTATGACAGATAATTATCCTTTTTTTAACTTTGATTAAAAAATGAGAAAAATGTAGATAATATATCTAACATCACTCGCATTTTTGACATTTCTTTAGGTGTCTCCCGCTCAAAAAAAAACAAATATATCTTTTTTAAACCGGAAATTATATTTTATTTCATATTTATGGAAAAGAATTCATGTATTTATAGGGTATAACTTATCGATCGTTTATCAAATTATATATCAAAGCCAGATATATCATTACTTCTATCGATCTAAAGGGATAGGAAAGATAATAACGACAATGTGAATATAAATAGTACCCCTTCATCGTTTACTTTATTTTACTTTACATTACTTTACTATTTACTTTACTTTACTTTACTTTACTTTACTTTACTTATATTATATATTATACCGGGAACTTATCCTTTAATTGCACATTGGTTTAAAATCCGGCTTTCTCTAAGGACGCTGGATTGTTTAACGCGGAACTGGATTTGTTTAACGCGGAGCTGGATTTGTTTAACGCGGAGAATCTTGCTAACATAATGGTAAAGTTTCCTTTTTGTGTTATCTTTATTGTGTCAAACATGATCAATAAACTTTTGTTTGCTGTATCTTGTTTTATGCATGTATGCATCATGGCTTTTTCTAACCATCTTTGTATATATATGATTTACTAAAATAAATCTATCTAACAAATGCTCGTGTCTATGTGCATGCCTTCCTCAATTGGTGCTTCAAAGTCTGCATTAAAACTGAAAACTTCCGAGGGTTTGAGCGTATTAGACAATATCAATATTTATTGACATTGGTGGGACATTTTATTTTACATAAAAAAGTACATTTAGCCACAAGAAAATATCAACGGACCTGGAAGCAGTTATGGTATGTTCAGTTAATGTTTATGACATGAGACAAAACTACCGACTAGCTTAATGCACCAATACACAAACTGTTTGTTTTTAGATGTACAATTAATCAATTACGATGATTTACTACACGCCCTCTTAAACACTTCCGTGTTTACAAACTTCACAAAACGTTTCAATAAATTTGAAAATATTGCGTATTTTCTAGTATCAATGAAACAAAACAAATTCTTCTAAATCAAGAAAAACATTGTTTTATTTAGATCTATTAAGGATTTGAAAGTAAAAAAAGAGTCCAGATTACTACAAATTACTACTGAGCTATGTGGCATAGTTGGCATCGAAGGGTAAATAAAGTGTATTAAAAATATGTCTGACAATCATAATTTATTTATAAATGTCAAGTGATGTACAATTATAACCAAATCCGAATGAATGTCAACAGTTAAATATTTTGTAATTTTGGTTTATATGTATATAAATGATATACAAGGTACTGTGGCGAACTTCATAGCAAAATTATCATTATTTTGTTTGAAAGACTAGCGTTTGCTTTTTATGTATCCTAACTAATGAAAGGAACCACAGTAGAAATAAGGAGAAATAAGGTGTACATTCTTTTCTTAAGATATATGTAAAAAATTTATATAGCCACATTGAATTCACCAGAGCACAGTGCAGCCATCGCATCGTTCCTGGACAGGCTGCCAAGCAGTTTACCAGTATGTACTAGTTTCCTTCACTTTAACTTCTGTATACATGCCAGAGCAGAGGTACGGTGTGAGCTGAGCATGTCAAATGTGTAAGATGCAAAGCCTATATAACACGGGAGAAAGGGAGATAAATAGGGGGGGGGGGAGAGAGAGACCAGAAAGAGACACAGAAAGTGAACTAAGGGGATCACTGTGATATAATGGATGGAATTACAAGAATTAAATCTTTTATTAACCTAATACATGTATACAATTATATTGTATCTCTGACGGCTCTCACGTAGAACTTAACCAGAGCACAAACTGGGACCTAGAAGCTTCAGTAAGGTTTTCCTGCGACTACACGCGTCCCAGTTCATGCTTGGAGTGGTGGTCGGGAGCCAGGAGTACCTCGTCTTCACGATAAGCTCTATGCACAGGTGTCAGAGGCAACAGTTACCACCATCTTCAGTTACTATGTCAAACAATAATAGAAATAATGATATAAAAGAAAATAGGAGGGCAAAGGGCATTATTTAAATGAACCAACTTTTCGTCTTCTGAATGTAGTTCTGAACATGTAAGAAGATAGATGTGTTTGCTTCAAATGAGAGGTTAGTATCAGTATATATAGGTTGTTAGTTAATTAAAGATAGGTTTCTCACTATGTATACTAGTTGCTTCCCTTGCTATACGTTCTTAAAATGTTACCACAAAAACTGGCATATTAATATATTATAATATATTTTGAGTTATTAACATAAATTTTGTCTTTTTAACCTTTAATATCTTTAACATAATTGAAAGGAAACAAGCAATGATAATTATATAGTGCAGTATCTAAGTCAATCATAGGTCTTTAACAGTGTCATTAACATTAAAAAATAAAATCCTGTATTTCAGGAAATAGATGCATGTTTTTATTTGAATATTCTGTAGATGTTTCTTTGTTTGCTAAGAAAAGTAAGGCATGCGAGGTTTTTATTTGTTTGGGTCGTCAGACCAAACAAATAATGGTAGCGAAATTTCAGACTCTAATGCTGTTAATTGCAAATGCCGAAAGTAGTCCGCCTTTTTTGAAGCGGTTACTTCCCTTTATATGTAACACTAAGGCCGAAAAATTCAGGGGATATCACTGCGTAAATATGGCCACATGACAGGCGGATTAATTTTCAAGCAAAATAATTCCCGAATGGTCGAAGATTTCTAATATTGTTTTATTCTTTATAGATATACATGCTTATAGTAAGCGCCATGATTAAAACAACAGTTAGCATCGTTACAAACCCTAATTAGAATAATATGACTTTCTTCAGGTCATTAACATACGAATTCACCGTGGCCGAGGGGTTTGCGCGCTCGCTTAGGAAGCGAGAGGTCTGGAGTTCAAATCCCAGTTAAGGCATCTCATTCTTTTTCAAATTGTTTAAGTCAAATAAACATTGGATTGAATATCAGTGTTGCAATTAGTCTTATAGCCAATCTACTACAATTAAAACGCTGGAAAGCATTGGTGGCACTATACAAAAACAAATTGTTTTATTATCTCACAACCTTCACCTTTCTGACATTCTGAGACCCAAACAAATTCAGCTCCTTCTGTGCTTTGATTCATTTAAGTGTAAGACTAAAATCCGCACTGAAAATACGGGAAAAGGCATGATAATAATCGTTCATAAATATGATTTATAATTATACAATTCACATCTAATTTTGTTACCATTGGAGATAATTGTTGAAGTAGTTACGTTCTCTATCGCAAAAGCTGAAAAATCATAAGTCTGGGACTTTTCGGAACCGGAGTGCTTAAAAAATGCAATTACTTTAACCACGCATAATTATTATGAGCGTGAAATGGGCACCGGTAAAATTGATTTGTGATACATTCGGTAACTAATTTTTATATAGAGTAAATCTTTATAACCAATCAAAAGATATCAATAAGTAAGAAAAACTATCGAACTGGCAACACATAACAACAAAGTAGCCAAAGGTTGTTTGTCTTTTAATATAATGTTCAATAAATTCAATAAATTATTGTATCAAGTATTTTAAAACAGTACTTTATATTAATAATATTTAATTAAAAAACATTTACGAAACCTTTACGAGACAAATTTTTAACAATGATAGAGAACTTAAAATATCAATGTAACTCGAAAAAAGGACAGTTGAAACAGGCGTTGTAGTTGTAAATTGATGCTTATCTAGGCTGGGGTAGGGTATATGTTTTTGTTGTTGTTGTTGTTGTTATTGTGAATGGCGACGAACAACTCATAAGTGACTGAAATAATTGTGAACGAAGATCCCAGGTGCCGAGAAAAGATTGTCTCAGAATAGATCTTTATTTGTGGAAGAAAAACTTATCAAATTGGAAATGAAATTGGGATGAGAATAATAGAAACAGAAAAATAAGATTAAAGGAAGCTGATACAGATAAGGACTAAAAGTTCCATATTCCGGGAATTTCAACTTACCTGGAATTATATGACATGTGTGTTGAGGTAGCAATAAGCAAAACATACCGGCATTGTATTTTAATTTTATTACTATAAATATATAAATAAAATATATAAGTTGTAAAATAATTGAATATTATATAAAATCACATGATATAATTAGATGACAAATGAAACATATTGCATAAAAGAGGACAAAACCTATATTTTAGCAGTATATATTAATAATCATGCAATTTAAGAACTGGATTCCATGTTCAATATAGTTAATTTAAATACACCTACTATAATGCTTTTTATATTTTGTGAGAAAATATATATAATTATGCTTTTGGTTACACATGTGGATAAAAAAAATACGGTCGCTTAATGCAACCGTGTATATCACCAGTAAGTTAGCAATGTATATTACGAATTTACATTGCTGCAAATCATTTTCTTTTTTTCTTTTTTTTGTAGAAATGTAGATGGGAAACAAGTTTTTGGCCTATAACACTTTAAACACTTTGAAGCAAAAATTGCTAAACCTTCGCAACCAGAATAGAGCTTGGCAAGACTGGACAACTGTGCAGTTTAACAAGACACTAAACTTTTCGACCTTTTAATCTATAATGTTAATGCTATCATTTTGATTTCGACTATACAAATGAAATGGTACCTTTTTAGATAAAGATATTGTTGTTGTTGTTGTTGTTGTTGTTGTTGTTGTTGTTGTTGTTGTTGTTGTTGTTGTTGTTGTTGTTGTTGTTATTGTTGTTGTTGTTATTGTTGTTGATGTATTATTATTATTATTATTATTATTATTATTATTATTATTACTACTATTATTATTATTATTATTATTATTATTATTATTATTGATCAATTTGGCAGTGTTAGGTTTAATTAATAAAGAATGAAACTATACGATATGTCGTCCGTTATTGTTCATATTGTGCACACTATGTCTCGAATATTTCCCGCCGATAACAAATATTGTTGCAATTTTCCGTTTAGTTCATATTGGCACTTTGTTTCCTGGTAAATGTTTCTTGCAATTTTAACACCAGCCATGCTTGACAAATAGTCGCCATATTTGAACAGTTCGCATGAACAAAGAAGTGGATTGTCACGAATATCAAAAATAACACCTTTTGACTTCAGAATCTCAGTCAGCTGATTTTTACTGATTGTTTTTATTTGGTTCCTTTTCAAGTTTATCAGTAAGTTATTTTTGTTTTGCCCCGAAAACATAAAATTTGTTACAGTTATTTCGTTATCAGCTAGGTCAAGGATGGATAATTTTGGAAGGAAGCTTGATCGCATGTTTTCAAGTTCCACCGGAACTGACGTCAGACTGTTGTTACGTAGAGAATAGACTCCAAGCCGTGGGTACTGGCTGGTCTCCATTAATTTCATATGGAAAGCTGAAAAACTTCGACTTCCGCTTTCTTCTAAGTATCGTAGTTTATTATATCGACAAAACGAGTTATGTGATAAAAGGTGTTTTATAGCCACTGAAGACATTAGTTCTTCCAGAACTAAAAGCTCGTCCATCGTTCCTTTCAGCGGTGGGAATATATATTCCATGTTTCTCAAAATTAATACAGATGCATTTGTCTGTCCGCAGTCGAAATGAGATGAAATATTGTTTAAGTGACGTACAGTTTCTACGAGGTCTCTAATCTCAATTTTGTTCTTTACATTTGACACTACAACCTGCTGGAGCTCGTTCGGATGTATTTGAGGATAAGATCTTTCAGAAAGAAAGCCTTCATTTATACAGTCTGTAACGTGAAGAGTTACCACATTATTGGCGAAAAATGGCCATGGTAAACGAATTTTTCCGCCATTGAAGCAATTAATAGATACGTTGAATTTCTCACTGTCAAGCCTCGAACTTGTAAATGCGCGTATCTCATCAAAGTCCAGATATTGTCCCGCAAATACTATACAGTGTAGTTGAATTTCTCTTCCTTTTCCCTTTTCTTCAGAACACAAAGGTAACGTTGGTCTCGACGGGTGTAGTATTACAGTCGAAACATGAAATAATGTCAATAAAACCGTACTTAAAATTGTCATAGTTATTTTATATGTCATACTTGTATAATGTTATATATATATATATCTTAAACCATATAACATAGATCGAGAATACACTGGTATGAATCTTCTGATTTGTAAACGTTCCGAATATATTTACAAAATAGTATCCTTTTATTTGATTTCACTAGTAGGCTATCTCTATTTATATGTGCTTTCCAGAAGTTCTGGCCTTAGTTTCCTCTTTGTTCTGTAAAAACCGCTGGTTGCACGATGTTTTAACTACCATTTCAGGCCTCGACACTAACTTTTTTAGCAGGTGGTATGCCGGACCACTAGATTTGAAAGTTAGGTGGTCCTTCCAGAAGTCAGGTGGTCAGTTATCATTATTATATCATTTTACTGCAAATGTACAAAAAAATGTTTAAACTTTATGACAAAGATGTATTATTAACCTTTAAAGAGAGCAGATATTTTTAGATATATAATTTTCATCTAATCAGAAAAGGGAGAGCAAGTCAGTAGGTATTTTATCGTAGAGTTATTTGTTTATTTGTTTTTATCTGAGTCAAAAATACACAGCAGAGCTCTTATTTATGTTAACTTTTATATTAATGTGATTTCTCCCTCAACTCAAGTTAGGGAATATATAGTGAAGCCATTTGTGTCTGTTATTTTCTTACTGTTATTCAAATATCCATTGCTGATACGTGGTATGTCTTATAATCATGATTATAAATAACATAGCAACTTTTATAGATTAACATTTTTAATGGAACTAATAAATTATCTTATTCTTGTCTTTGAAAACAAGGAAATATATAAATTATTAAAATAATGACAACGTTATTATTTACTATAACTTATCTTATTTTTCTCACATATTTATATTTTCTCACATATTTATAATACATAATTTTACCTCCCTGTTGCTTGTTATTTGATATTCATTTTTGACATTAGGTATTTTTAACCTTTTAAAATAATTTTAACTCTAGAAGAAACAGATCTCTTATCGTTAAACAGTTAAAATAAAAGATAAATAGCATAGAATTACTAGATGTATTTTTTCAGTTCCTTTCGTTTGCTGCCGTTATTCAAATATCTGAAATTTAAGTTTATCCAATATCATATAATTACCATCATCGGATACTCCCGGTTGATTAATATGTAACATAACATAAAGTGTTAATGGTTCCGCCGTGGTAATCAGACAATGCATAATTACTAGCACCATTTGAATGAATTTTGTACCTAAATTTATATCACAAATTCTTAACTCTTTTAACTTGCATAAACAAAATTTTAGCGACTTAAAATGAAAGTTATTGATGACTTAAGAACTTCTGTAACTAATCAGAGATTAATGAACCATATACATGTACATCGGACATAGATTAATGATTTTAAACAAAAGTATATAACATGTTTTTGACCAAATCGCCATTTTCCCAAATAAGCCTTGTATCAACCAGAAAATTCAAGTGGTCCGACGGACCAGTGGGTTTTAAAATTAGGTGGTCCTTGCCAAAACCAAGTGGTCTCGGACCAACGGACCACCGCTAATGTCGAGGCCTGCCATTTTAACTGGGCCAATGAAGTAACGTGCTTACGTCCTGTTTTGAGGTTTTGACGTAACCACGACAAATATTCGGTAGTATTCAGTACCATGTCACACGTAAATACCACCCTATTTTCTCTACTTAATATTGCGCGCGCGACGTTATTTGTCATTTTGGTAGTCATAGCATGTGATAAATTTGTCATTTAAGTATGTAATTAATCAGTACGTGGTTAGATATGTCATGTTTTCTGTTGTTTTTCCTAATTTCCGCAAGTATTATGATATACCACTGCAAAGTCATTGAAATATGAATGTTTTATATCAACCATACTATAAACAATGAGAGCGGTTATCACAGTACACTAGAGGTCGTCAGGATATTGCGCTAGTTACCCAATTTGTGGTATTATAGTATAATCCTGTACGTATTAAATTGTTCAAACAGAGATGTCTTTGAATATTTTTGATTTGCTTATACGCAATGCTTCTAACAATAACAAAAAAAAAATAAAATTAAACAGCCAATACCACTTTATGAAGTCATTTAGGAACTTTGATTGACTTACAAACATATCCGAATATGCAAAATGTTGTGTTGTTTTTCTGTTTTGTTTTTTTTTTTTTTTTGTTGTTGTTGTTGTTGTTGTTGTTTTTTTCTGAATAATGTTCATATCCATTTTACTGGATTTGATTTAAAAAAAAATATTCAAAAGTAAAATATTGTGAAGTGAACAAAGAAATACAAATAAAATACAAAGGTTTACCATCTTGTTTGAAAATTTTGACAATTAAAGTATAACAACAACAACAAAAACAAAAATATAAGTACTATATTCTGGACATAAATACAGAAAATACAAAGGTTTACCATCTTGTTTGAAAATTTTGACAATTGAAATATAAAAAAAAACAACATCAAAGAATATGGTTTCAATATCTGAAGAAAATCCTTGCTAGTTTCATATTTTTCTTAGTTGAAACATCACAGACGGACATTTGTCTCGTACATGCCATATTACAGTCGGACATTTGTTTCGGACATTATATATTACAGTCAGACATTTGTTTCGTACATGATATTTCACATTCTGATATTTGATTCGTATCTGATATATCACAGTCGGACATTTGTCTCGTACAAGACATAACCGTACGGACATTTGTCCCGTACATGGTATATTACAGATGGATATTGTCCTCGCCCATGACAAATCACAGTGTACATGATTTTTCACATTCGGATATTTGTCTTGTACATGATATTATTTGTCTTGTACATGATATTATTTCACAGTCGGACATTTGTCTCATACATGACATATCCAAACAGATATTTGTCTCGTTCATGATATATCACAGACGGACATTTGTCTCGCACAGGAAAAATCACAGATCGACATTTGTTTTGTACATGACATATCACAGCCGGACATTGTCTCGTACATGACATATCACAGTCGGACATTTGTCTCGTACATGATATATTACAGTCGGATATTTGTCTCGCACAGGAAAAATCACAGACCGACATTTGTTTCGTACATGACATATCACAGTCGGACATTTGTCTCGTACATGATATATCACAGTCGGACATTTGTCTCGTACATGATATATTACAGTCAGACATTTGTCTCGCACAGGAAAAATCACAGACCGACATTTGTTTCGTACATGACATATCACAGTCGGACATTTGTCTCGTACATGATGTATCACAGTCGGACATTTGTCTCGTACATGACATATCACAGCCGGACATTTGTCTCGTACATGACATACTACAGTCGGACATTTGTCTCGTACATGACATACTACAGCCGGACATTTGTCTCGTACATGATATATCACAGTCGGACATTTGTCTCGTACATAATATATCACAGTCGGACATATTGTCTCGTACATGCCATATCACAGTCGGATATTTGTCTCGTACATGCCATATAACAGTCGGACATTTGTCTCGTACATGCCATATCACAGTCGGACATTTGCCCCGTACATGACATATAACAGTCGGACATTTGTCTCGTACATGATCTATCACAGACGGACATTTGTCTCGTACATGACATATCACAGCCGGACATTTGTCTCGTACATGACATATCACAGTCGGACATTTGTCTCGTACATGACATATCACAGTCGGACATTTGTCTCGTACATGACATATCACAGTCGGACATTTGTCTCGTACATGACATATCACAGTCGGACATTTGTCTCGTACATGACATATCACAGTCGGACATTTGTCTCGTACATGATATATCACAGTCGGACATTTGTCTCGTACATGATATATCACAGTCGGACATTTGTCTCGTACATGATATATCACAGTCGGACATTTGTCTCGTACATGATATATCACAGTCGGACATTTGTCTCGTAGATGATATATTACAGTCGGACATTTGTCTCGTAGATGATATATTACAGTCGGACATTTGTCTCGTACATGATATATTACAGTCGGACATTTGTCTCGTACATGATATATTACAGTCGGACATTTGTCTCGTACATGATATATCACATTCGGACATTTGTCTCGTACATGATATATCACAGTCGGACATTTGTCTCGTACATGACATATCACAGTCGGACATTTGTCTCGTTCATGATATATCACAGTCGGACATTTGTCTCGTACATGACATACTCACAGCCGGACATTTGTCTCGTACATGATATCATTTTGTAGTCGGACATTTGTCTCGTACATGACATATCACAGTCGGACATTTGTCTCGTACATGATATATCATATTCGGACATTTGCCTCGTACATGACATATTACAGTCGGACATTTGTCTCGCACAGGACAAGTCACAGACCGTTATTTGTCTCGTACATGACATATCACAGCGGACATTTGTCTCGTACATGACATATCACAGCCGGACATTTGTTCTCTACATGACATATCACAGCCGGACATTTGTCTCGTACATGACATATCACAGCCGGACATTTGTCTCGTACTTGACATATCACAAGCCGACATTTGTCTCGTACATTACATATCACAGCGGACATTTGTCTCGTACATGACATATCACAGTCGGACATTTGTCTCGTACATGACATATCACAGACGGACATTTGTCTCGTACATGACATATCACAGCCGGACATTTGTCTCGTACTTGACATATCACAGCCGGACATTTGTCTCGTACATTACATATCACAGCCGGACATTTGTCTCGTACATGACATATTCACAGTCGGACATTTGTCTCGTACATGACATATCACAGACGGACATTTGTCTCGTACATGACATATCACAGCCGGACATTTGTCTCGTAACTTGACATATCACAGCCGGACATTTGTCTCGTACATGACATATCACAGTCGGACATTTGTCTCGTACATGACATATCACAGCCGGACATTTGTCTCGCACATGATATATCACAGCCGGACGTTTCGTACATGATATATCACAGCCGGACATTTCGTACATGATATATCACAGCCGGACGTTTCGTACATGACGGATCACAGCCGGACATATTGTCTCGTACATGACATATCCAAGCGGACATTTGTCTCGTACTTGATATATCACAGTCGGACATTTGTCTCGCACAGGACAAATCACAGACCGTTATTTGTCTCGTACATGACATATCACATTTGGGCATTTGTTTCGTATATGACATATCACAGCCGGACATTTGTCTCGTACATGACATA